GTTGGTGAGGATGTAGAGAAAGGGGAACCCTTGCACACTGCTGGCGGGAACGTAAATTGATGAAGCCACTGTGGAAAACATTATGGAGTTTCCTCAAAAAATTAAAACTAGAACTACCATACGATCTGGCAGTTCCTCTCCTGGGTATATATCCAAAGAAAATGAAAACACTAATTCGAAAAGATACATGCACCCCGATGTTCATAGCAGCATTATTTACAATTGCCAAGACGTGGAAGCCACCTAAGCATACATCAACAGACCAATGGATAAAGATGTGCTATATATATGCAACGGAATACTACTCAGCATAAAAAGGAATGAAATTTTGCCATTTGAACAACATGGATGGACCTGGAGGGTTTTATGCTTAGTGAAATAAATCAGATGGAGAAAGACAACTACTGTATATCATCACTTATATGTGAAATCTAAAAAATAAAAAACAAACCAGTGAATATAACAAAAACGGAGGCTATCTTAAAAAAGGCTGAAGAGTATTCCATTGTATGTATATTCCACATTTTGTTTACCCATTCACGTGTGATGGACATAGGAATTATTAATTTTTAAATTGTGGTAATTGTGTGTGCGTGTGTGTATTTAAAAGAGTTCTAATCTTTTAGAGTCATACTGAGATATTTACCAATGAAATAATAGGATGCCTGGCATTTGCTTCAAATTAATACAGGATGGGGGAAATGGGTGGGGATACAGATGAAACAAACCTGGCCATGAATTGATAATTGTTGAAGTTCGAGTTTTAGGTTTGCTTTTCTATATATTCAACTTTTCCCACAATAACGTGTAAACAAATGGACAACAACAAAAAACTGGCCAAGTGAAAAACTCCCCCTTCAGAGTAGGGAGTTCATGAATGTATTTCCCAAGCACAGTCTTAAGCATTAGGTATTCCTCCACCCCCCACCATCTTGAAAAGAGTAGCCTAGTTCCAGTGACCTGTGTGAGTATGTGGGCGACAGATTACAATTCTGATTTCCTTGCTCTCCAGTTTTCCAGCCTGAGGTATATTTACAATTCTGGTCCAGGACTTTTTTTTTTTTAATTGGAGTATAGTTGCTTTACACTGCTGTGTCAGTTTCTGCTGCACAGCAAAGTTATTCAGCCATACGTGTACCTATATCCCTTCTTTTTTGGATTTCCTTCCCATTTAGGTCACCACAGAGCACTGAGTAGAGTTCCCTGTGCTATACAGTAGGTTCTCATTAGTTATCTATTTTATATATAGTAGTATATATATGTCAATCCCAACTTCCCAATTCACCCCCCCCCGTTCCCCCTTGGTATCCATACGTTTGTTCTCTACGTCTGTGTCTCTATTTCTTCTTTGCAAATAAGATCATCTATGCCATTTTTCTAGATTCCACATGTATGTGTTAATATACTATATTTGTTTTTTTCTTTCCAACTTACTTCACTCTGTATGACAGTCTCTAGGTCCATCCACGTCTCTGCAAATGACACAATTTCATTCCTTTTTATGGCTAATATTCCATTGTACAGATGTACCACATCTTCTTTATCCATTCCTCTGTTGATGGACATTTAGGTTGCTTCCATGTCCTGGCTATTGTAAATAGTGCTGCAGTGAACATTGGGGTGCATGTATGTGTCTTTTTGAATTATGGTTTTCTCCAGGTATATGTCCAGTAGTGGGATTGCTGGGTCATATGGTAGTTCTATTTTTAGTTTTTTAAGGAACCTCCATACTGTTCTCCATAGTGGCTGTATCAGTTTACATTCCCACCAACAGTGTAAGAGGGTGCTCCAGGACTTTAGCTTAACAGGCTCAACCTACTTTTTTTTTTCCAAACAGCTTTATCGAGATATAATTCACATGCCATCCACACCTGATGAAACTGTACAATTCAATGGTTCCTGTTGTATTACACCATTATTATTTTTTAAAATTTATTTAAGTAATTTATTTTTGGCTGCGTTGGGTCTTCGTTGCTGTGTGCGGGTTTTCTCTAGTTGTGGCGAGCGGGGGCTACTCTTCGTTGCGGTGCGTGGACTTCTCATTGCAGTGGCTTCTCTTGTTGCAGAGCACAGGCTGTAGGTGCGCACGCTTCAGTAGTTGTGGCACATGGGCTTCAGTAGTTGTGGCTAGCGGGCTCTAGAGCACAGGCTCAGTAGTTGCAGTGCACGGGCTTAGTTGCTCTGCAGCATGTGGGATCTTCCCGGACCAGGGCTCAAACTTGTGTCCCCTGCATTGGCAGGCGGATTCTTAACCACTGCACCACCAGGGAAGCCCCATTAATTTTTTAAACTGTGTAAACATATATATAACATAAAACTTGCCATTTTAACCATTGTTAAGTGTACAATTCTGTGGCATCAATGACATTCCAACCTATTTTTAGAGTCTGGGTATTGATTAACCTTTGAAAGTCAGGAGATATCTTAGGACCAGTGCCTTTGTAGGATTTAGTCAGAACCTGAAAGTGGTCAACACTTTCCAGAAAAAGGATATTTGGTTCAAGGGTGATTGGAATGAGCCTGGAATTTCAGTCAGAAGCCTAGGACAGGGGTGCTAACTCCACTATCTAATGGGTGAGTAAACTTGACTCATTACTCATCCTTTCCCCTTCGAGTTTCTTCACCTATGAAAGGAATACAGTGCTGACCCTTCTGATAGCAGAGGTGGGGGCCATCCCTTTCAGCCTTACTTTTGCTCTATCTCCACCCAAAATCATGACGAAGTCCATGTTCCCCAGGGTTTACAATCGTCCTGAAGGTTAGAATTCTTCAAAACAAAAGATTTTATAAAAGAACACGAGGGACTTCCCTGGTGGTCCTGTGGTTAGCACTCCACGCTCCCACTTCCAGGGGCATGGGTTCAATCCCTGGTCGGGGAAGGGGAACCAAGATCCCGCATGCCACTCGGTGCCCGCCCAAAAAAAAAAAAAAAAAAAAAAAAAAAAAAAACAAACCCGCAAATTAATGACAGTCTTCTTTTTCTTTTTCTTCTTCTTTTTTTTTCCTCAATGCTATATAGTCAATGAATAAAACACCTGTTGAATGAGTGTACACTCTGATCCCACAAAAATCAATCAATCTGGACCCTGTTATCAAATTTGTTTTTCTGCTCAAATATTTTCCCATTTTGGATTAATGATACAATAGTTATCATAACCCCTTTGTATTCACAAAGTATCCTTCATCTGTTGACCTCGTAGATTAATAGAATAAGGATGAGGCCTTATATCCTGTGGTGGAGAGTCTGACTTTGGGGACAGATATTTTGGTCAGGGCATTTCACATCTCTAAGCCTCAGGTTCTTCATTATAAAAAGGGGATCTTAATAGTTGTCCTGGTTGTAAAAAGGAAACAAAGTACCGAAATGTGGAGGGAAGCCTTACATATGTGGCAGGTATTAAGTGTCACCGTCCATGTCAACCTGTTTCACAAGCATTCTTCCCACTGGGTCCTCTGGAAGACTTGTTTCACAAGAAAGCCCTCTGTGCTTCCGGCCTTTTTACAAGGTGCTTTCTCCTTAAGGAAAAAAAAAAAATTTTCTTGGCCTCCATGGAGACTTGGGTCTCCCCTACCATTCCTGCTGAGTGGAGCCTCTTCTCATTTTCCCAGAAGTTGACAACACAATCCTCAGCTCCTTACTGCTTCTTCCATGGCACTGCTCTGTCATTCTTGATAGGGAGAAACTCCCTTTTGTTTTGAAACTCATCGAATTTTGCCAGACATCCCTCTACCCTTCTTTGTTGCTGTCATTTACTAGCTTCGGGGTTGCTTCTCCACATTCACTGGAGACTTGGTTCCTTGGCCTCAACTGACTCCTCCAATTTCCTTCATCCTTCCGGGGGCCTTCAATGTCCCCCACACTGGCCTGGTGGGCGCTAGACCCAATTCCAGTGATGCCCATCTCAGTTGACTCCGTTCCAGAGTCAGACCCTAAACTGGATCATCTCCTGGAATTGCTTCCCCTTTGACATCGCCGACACCCACACTGTGGTGACAACTCCTCAGTTCCTTCATTCCCACAGGCCCTCATCTTTTGGTCCATCTCTTTTCTCTCTTCCAGTCTATCGGCTCCCTGCTCCTCTCCCTTCCTTTCCTCTGGGGACTAGACCCCTGGTGCGTCACTACCATCACATTCTTTCAGTGCTCTTAACTTCCTCACTCTCATCCTTCTACTCTACTCAACCAGCAAACTCTGGTTTTTATCAATATCAATATTTATATACCGACCCATAGACATCTTGCACAACTATAGCTGGAGGTCATTACACAATGATGGTTTCTAGACTCCACTGGGTCTTCAATGATGCTCTCCTCACTCGGCCCTCTAGTGACTTTCACCACTTTCTTAACCCTTCCGTCTGATTCCAAACCCTCCTATTGTCCCTAGTTAGATCCTTTCTCCTTCAGTGGTTTATGTTCTTCCCTTCGCCTTAATAACCTCCTGTGTCCTTTCCTGGCACCAAGGCACTAACCATCCTCCAAATACTCTTTAAAAAGTCACTCGGCGAAGCCCTGATTGTCCTTCTGCCCCTCGCATTTTAAATTTTAATTTTTGCTACACGCGTACTGTTCCAGGAACCTTACTGATTCCAGTAGAGGTGTAGCCCTCACCCCAGATTGTGAGCCCTTCAAAGGCCGGCATCCCATCTGATCGTCGTCCTCTGCTCGGCGCTCCCGCAGTTGCTCTCCGTGACCGAGAGAAGCTCTTTCCGGCGCCGAGAGCGGGACGCGAGGACCCGAGCAGGGTCTGGGCGTGCCGAGGGGCCGGGGCGCCGGGACCTGGCGTTCACCCGAGTCTCCGAGGTGCCGATGCTCAGCAAGCCGCGGAGGGGAGGAGCAGTCCCCGGGCTGAGCCTGGCCTGGGGCCAAGTGCGTCCAGGGCGGAGGGTGACGGGAAGCCACCAACGCCTGAGGAGTCACTTTTGGGGCGCTTGTTTCGGAGCATTGCACAAACCCGGGTGCCAACCCCGAGCTCACCGGCGTGAGTCAGTGGGGCCCGCGGCTGCAGGAGAGGGGGAGGTGGGCGAGGAGGGCGCCATGCACCCCGAGGCCCGCGCGGGCGGCGGGAGGGACACGGGGGCGACTCGGGACGCCGCTGGCGGCGGACCCCTCCCCAGCCCGACAGGTGAGCGCGGGCGGGCCTCGGGGCGGAGCTCGCCGGCTCCAACGACCACCCTCCGCGCCACCGCCGCCGCCGCCGCCAAAGCACAGGTAACTCCCCGCCAGGGCCTCAGCGCCGGGGCCGCCCTCCAGCCCGCGGCCCCAGCCCGGCGCACACATGGGACCGGGAGCCTTTGTCCCCTCCGAGGGCGGCCGCCGCACGCGTCCCAGCACCCTGTGCTCTCTGCCCGCGGGCAGACAGCGGCGGGGCAGGGCCGGGGCCGTGGGAGTCCGCCCTGCGGCGGCCCGCGGCCCGGGCTCTGGAGCGCCGCGTACGCGAGCGGCGCTTCGGCGCGCACGCCGCCTCGGAACCGGGCGCTGGGGCCCGCCGCGGCCCCCGCCCGGTTCCCCCCGGGCCCCGGGAGCCCCGAGATGGCGTTGGCAGAAGAAGTGCAGCCCCGCGCAGAGTGAGATGGCCTTTCTGTCTCCTCCCCCGCCCGGGGCACTAGTTAAACCGCGACCCTCGCGTTTCCCGAGTCGCAGCTGGTTAGGGCGCTCCGAGCCCGAGTCCGCTGCTGCTACAACATAGCTTTCTTTCTAAAACAGTTTCTCCACATTTGATGTCTAATTTACGTTTAGTAAAATGCCCCCATTTTAAGCGTGCAGATCGGGGATTTTGACAAATTATACACAAGTGGAACCACTACCCCAACGTAGACATAGACCATTTCCATCACTACAGAAAGTTCCCTCGTGCTCCTCTCCGGTCGATCCACAACCGCCCTCACCCCTTGATTTCCATCAGAGCTTAGTTTTGCCTGTTCTAGAACTTCATAAGGTGGGCTCATGCAGTAAGTACTCTTGTTTTTGACTACTTTTAAATGGCCGTCATTGAGAAGGTATCTCTTGGTGCATCTGTTTTTAGTTGCTTTAGGCCTGCACTGTACAGTGTGAGTTGAGATGTGCTGTGCGTAGACACACCTAATTTCGGAAGACATTAAAAAAAAAAAAAAAGGATGTAAATTATCTCACCCAAATATTCTTACATTGATTATGGGCTGATTATGGGTATTTTGGATACCTTGGGTTAAATAAGATATTATTAAAATGAACTTAATCTGTTTCTTTTTACTTTTTATATGGCTACTGGAAAATTTAAAATTACACAGTGTAATTTTTTTAATGTTTTTATTGGACAGTGGACAGCCCTACACATGCCTTTTTTACAGACAATTGGGTCTGCTCACTGCATATAAGAGTAAATGTAAATAATGGTCTTCACAAGAGAAAAAAAATCCCGATTGTAGAAGTAGCTTGAAGAACCTGCTTTGCCTGTTGTTTTAAAATTTTGCTTCAAACTTACTTGTTTGCTTAAAATAGAAAGGACTAGGTGTCTCCTTGATATTGTTACATTTTCGAAAAGGACTTTGTAAAATATCTGATATGCTTAAAAAGGTATCTTGTGCTTTTGAAAATATGGAAAAGTAATAATTGCCTGCAACCCAACCACCTAAATATATATTAAAATGTAGCATTTTGGTGTAATTTGACCAGTCTTAATTTAAAAAAAACAGTTGAGATAATAATATATTTAATTTTATATCCTGCTCTGTTGTGTAACATAAGCATACCTTATATGAAAGATTCTTAGGCTTTTTGACAACCACATAATGTGCCTTCTCGTAAATACTCTCCAGTTTTCTATGGCATTTTTCCATTTTGCTAACTTTTACAAATGGGAAGTCATTTTAGTAGTGTGACAGTGCCAGAATAAGGTAGTTACAGAACAGCTTATTTGCCCCTTTATCCAACAGGAGAGGTGAAGACCAAGAGGACAGGGACCTTGACTTTTTGTTCACCCCCATATCTGCAGGACCTGGGAACACGTCAAGCATATAATTTGTCTGGGAGGAAGAAAATTTCCTTCTACCCTTCTAGGTTCTTCTGCTGGTCTAAGAATTAAGTTGACATGAGACAGATTAACAGGAGAAAATCAAATAAAAGTTTAATAACGTGTATACGTGGGAGAGACCCAGGAAAACTTAGTCACTTGCTAAAATGGTTGAAACCCTTGCCTTAAATACCATCTTCAGCTCAAGACAAAAGAAGATGTTGTGGGTAGTAGTTTGGGACTTCAAAAGGGAAGAGGGCAGGGCTTCCCTGGTGGCGCAGTGGTTAAGAATCTGCCTGCCAATGCAGGGGACACAGGTTCGAGCCCTGGTCCGGGAAGATCCCACATGCTGCGGAGCAACTAAGCCCGTGTGCCACAACTACTGAGCCTGTGCTCTAGAGCCCGCGAGCCGCAACTACTGAGCCCACGCTCCTAGAGCTCGAGCTCCACAACAAGAGAAGCCACCACAATGAGAAGCCCGCTCAGTGCAACAAAGAGTAGCCCCCGCTCACCACAGCTAGAGAAAGCCCGCGCACAGCAACAAAGACCCAACGCAGCCAAGAGTAAATAAATGAATAGTTAAAAAAAAAAAAGGGAAGAAGGCAATTAACATGGAGATGGAAAGGCAAATATTTTGGTAAACAAATGTTTGCTAGGTCAGGCAGAGACAGTGGTACACAGAGTGGACTCTGATCTCTAAGAGCTTCCCCGACCACATCTAGCTCATATTCTCTGAAGATATCTCTGGTGATAGCTCTATGCCAGGAACAGGCCCTTTATCTAAATTCTTTAGGCAGCAAAGGGGGCAATAAAAAAGAAGGACTTCCTGAGTCTTCTGTTTCTTAAAAATAATCAAACTAAATTAATGCTCATGCCAAAGAGGCACATTTTGGTGTGGCAGATTTTCCTCCTCTGCCTGTTCCATAAACGTTTATGAGCTGACTGAATCATTGAGTAGAGGGCTCTGAAAAATAAGAGCTAACCTTGACTTAGCACTTGGGCGCTCTCTTTGTAAATACCCACACAGCTCTATAAGGCTGGCACTGGTATTATTTCTGTGTACTGCACAGGTGGAGAAAATTGATGTTTAGAGAAGTTGAAATTGCCCAGGGTCATAGCTATTAAGTGACAGCACTTGAGCTCAGGCTGTCTGACTCCAGAGGAGGGACACTTATCAAAATAGAAAAAAATCAACAGTGGGTTGAGTAAGGGAAGACTGTGATGAAATTCCCACTCTAACAACTACCTCAGCTAGTAGAAGTGACAAGAGATGAATATTCAGATACATTTTGGATCTATAGGAGGAGCATTCTGGGTTTGGACTGGAAATCTTTTAGGCTAAATATAGCTCAGGTGAGTGGATGGCCAGGTGGGTAGTAAAGAGGAACGGTGACATTGAACATGATCAACTGTGCTGTGTAGAGAAAGGCAGGCCCAGGGACTTAAGGAAGCCATTTGGGATGGGACTTGTATATTTTGGATGGCTTCAGTTTACTCGCCTTGACGGTGGTCAGCTAATTCAAATTGAACTCACAGCTCTGAAGTGAAAGGGCTCTACACCTTTTAAGTTAAGCTAGTTGTTTTTTTAAAAAAATTATTTATTATTTATTTTTGGCTGTATTGGGTCTTCGTTTCTGTGCGAGGGCTTTCTCTAGTTGTAGCAAGCGGGGGCCACTCTTCATCGCGATGCGCAGGCCTCTCACTATCGCGGCCTCTCTTGTTGCGGAGCACAGGCTCCAGACACGCAGGCTCGGTAGTTGTGGCTCATGGGCCTAGTTGCTCTGCGGCATGTGGGATCTTCCCAGACCAGTGCTCGAACCCGTGTCGTCTGCATTGGCAGGCAGATTCTCAACCACTGTGCCACCAGGGAAACCCAAGCTAGCTGGTTTTGAAAGTAGAGGAAACTAAAATCAGAATAGGCATTCCTTTGGGAAAGACAGGCAGATAGGATAAGCAGGTAGCTGAAATCATTCCTACCTGATTGCATTTGAACTTGATATCCAGGTATTTTAAAACATTTGTGAATTACAATAGAAAGTGGGATTTGTAGTTATTAGCTTTTGTTAGTTACTCTCTTTTCTTGTAGTTGCGATTTTATATTAATAGTCTTAGTTGGCCGTTTGTTTGCATGTCAGGACCACACGAATAATGCCGTTAAGGCTCACCTTCACGTGCATGGTGAAATGGCAAGGGCAGAAGGCCCCTGCGCAGGCTCAAGAGGAAAACAATAGTTCTCAGAGTAGAGTAGCCCAAGTAGCTCTTGGGCTTCCTGTCTGCCTCTAAAACAAAAGGGTTTGAATCAGACAGCAGCAGGAAAGTAAAAAAAAATTTCTTTATGACATAATATTTTCTCTTTTTTTTTTTCTGCTTGAATATTTCTGCATGGTGAAATGGATGGGTAAGGAACAGATTCAGTCTTCCACATGCATAGTTAAGGAGGATACATTTATTATTATTAATAGTGACATTAGTAGCTAACTTTTACTAAGTTTTTACTGTATGTTAATATAGGGGTCAACTTTGACCCCCTCTAAGCCAGGTATCAGCAAACATTTTCTATAAAAGATAGAAAATATTTCAGGCTTTGTGGGCCAGAGGTCTGTGTTTTCCCAGCTACTCAACTCTGCCATTGTAGCCAGAAAGCCACCAGAGACAATATGTAAATGATGGGCATGGCTGTGTGCTAATAAAACTTGATTTATGGACACTGAAGTTTGAGTTTCATACAATTTTAATGTGTCATGAAATATTCTTCTTTTGATCTTTTCTCAGTCATTTAAAATATAAAACATTCTTAGCTTGGCGACCATACAAAAACAGACAGTGGGCCAGATGTGACCTATGGGCCCTGGTTTCCTGACCTCTGATCTGTACCTTAGCTCATTTAATCCTCACAACCATCTGCAAGATTTTTTATTTTGTTTTGTTTTTAACATATTTATTTATTTGGCTGCGTCAGGTCTTAGTTGCGGCACGTGTGATCTAGTTCCCCGACCAGGGATTCAACCTGGGCCCCCTGCGTTCAGAGCACAGTCTAAACCACTGGAGACCAGGGAAGTCCCAAGATTTTTTTAAAATGTTGGCATATTTGAATACTGATTTAAAAAATAGACTATTTTATTTTATTTTATTTTTTTAATTAAAAAAATTTATTTATTTTTGGCTGCGTTGGGTCTTTGTTGCCGTGCTTGGGCTTTCTCTAGTTGTGGCGAGCGGGGGCTGCTCTCCTTGTGGTGCGCGGGCTTCGCATTGCGGTGGATTCTCTTGTTGCAGAGTACGGGCTCTAGGCGCGTGGGCTTCAGTAGTTGTGGCATGCAGGCTCAGTAGTTGTGGCTTGCAGGCTCTAGAGCACAGGCTCAGTAGTTGTGGCGCATGGGCTTAGTTGCTTCGCAGCATGTGGGATCTTCCCGGACCAGGGATTGAACTCGTGTCCCGTGCATTGACAGGCGGATTCTTAACCACTGCACCACGAGGGAAGTCCCCCCAAATAGGCTATTTTTAGAGCAATTTTAGGTTCACAGCAAAACTGAGCAGAAAGTACTGAGTTTCCATACACCCACTGCCCCATGCCCACAGTGTTCCTCATTACCAACATCCTGAACCAGAGAGGTACATTTGTTACAGTCAATGAAGCTACACATCATTATCATTCCAAGTCCATAGGTTACATTAGAGTTCACTCTTGGTGTTATACATTCTGTGAGTTTGGACAAATGTATAATGACCTGTATCCACCATTATAGAATCATACAGAATAGTTTCACTGCCCTAAAAATCCTCTGTGCTCCACCTATTCATCTTTCCCTCCCGCACTAGCCTCTGAAAACCACTGATCATTTTACTGTCTTCATAGTTTTGTCTTCTCCAGAATGTCATATAGTTGGAATCATGCAGTATGTGCCTTTTCAGATGGGCTTCTTTCACTTAGTAACCTGCACTTAAGTTTCCTCCATGTCTTTTCATGGATTGGTAGCTCATTTCTTTTTAGTGCTGAATAATATTCCAAGGGATTGGGATTGGTACTTTTCATTCCATTTCACAGATGAAGAAACAGGTACAGAAAGGATTAGTAACTCGCCCAGGTATAGCTTCTACAGATCTGACTCCAGAGCCTGATCTCTTAAAAATTTTACCATGCTTCTGAATCCCAGAGGATTTTGGCTTCTTATGATGAAGTTTGTCACACGACAGAGTTGGGGTAAATGTAAAATCAGGGTAATGGAGCCAGACATTTTGCTGTATCCAGAGCTTCCTGCATGTCGACAAGAAAGAAAAACCTAGACGATAAGACTTTGTTTCAAATACTTAGAAAAAGTGCTGTGTGCATTTGAAATTCTGGTCCAACACACTCTCCACTTTACTGGTTTAAGAACATGTTTCTCTTCCCTGACCCTTAATTTCATTACCTTTCAGATTCTATCTGGGTGCTGGCACTCAGCCACTCCTCTGCCAATGAAGTACATCTTGGTCACTGGTGGGGTCATCTCGGGCATCGGTAAAGGGATCATAGCAAGCAGCATTGGGACGATTCTAAAATCATGTGGACTCCGAGTTACTGCCATCAAAATCGACCCCTATATAAACATCGATGCGGGCACTTTTTCACCTTATGAGCACGGTATGAGGGAGGACCACTTCCCCCCTATGAAGCACTGGGTTAAACTGAGGTTCTTTCTTGTATTTTGGGTAATTTCTTTAGGATAGAGTTCCAGAAGTAGAGCTGCTGGGTTATACATTTTGGATCTGTGAATGTTCTCATGGTTATTGATACATTTTTTCTGATTGCTGATGACATTCTAAATTAGTCCACCCTTTTGGAAAACAGTGTGTGAGGATACCATTCTCACTGTACCTTTTGTAGTATGGATTATGTTTTGTTTTATTTTATCATAAAGGTAATATATTTCTCAACATTTCATTGTTAAGAGAAAAACTCAGACAATATAGAATATATTGACAATACAGAATGACCTGAAGAAAATAAAAATCGTCCATTTCCCACCACTTGGAATAATTTTTTTTTTTTTTTTTTTGCGGTACGCGGGCCTCTCACTGTTGTGGTCTCTCCCGCTGCGGAGCACAGACTCCGGACGCGCAGGCACAGCGGCCACGGCCCACGGGCCCAGCCGCTCCGCGGCATGTGGGATCTTCCCGGACCGGGGCACGAACCCGCACCCCCCGCATCGGCAGGCGGACTCCCGAGCACTGCGCCACCAGGGAAGCCCTATACTAATTATTTTTATTTATTTATTTATTATTATTATTTTGGCCATGCCGCGTGGCTTGTGGGATCTTAGTTATCTGACCAGAGATCAAACCTGTGCCCCCTGCAGTGGAAGCGCAGAGTCCTAATCAGTGGGCCGCCAGGGAAGTCCCTATACTAATTATCTTAAAAAAGGCACTAGCCCTTATATACTTTCTTCTTAAACTTTTTACATACAAGCAAGAAAGTGTATAAATCATAAGTACCAGTAAGTGAAATGAACAGAATGTGTAATCAGCCTCCAGCTCAAGAAACAGAAACGCTCTTTACGCCCCGTCCAGTCTCTCCCCATCTGAAACGACCAGGGTAACCGTTATCCTGTCTTCTAACATTATAGATCAGTTTTGCTTATTTTTGAACTTTAAATGAACTGAATCTTAGTCATACTCTTTTTTTAATTGAAGTATAGTTGATTTACAGTGTTTCAGGTGTACAGCAAAGTGATTCAGTTATACATATATATATTCTTTTTCAGATTCCTTTCCATTATGGGTTATTATAAGATATTGAATATACTTCCCTATTCTATATAGTAGGTCCTTGTTGTTTATCTGTTCTATATATAGTAGTAGGTATCCGTTAATCCTGAATTCCCAGTTTATCTCTCCCCTAGTCATACTATTTTTCAATCAAAATTTTAAAACTTAATCTACTGTAGACATTTTAATAGATTCTATACTTCTAAAGGCTGCACAGAATCTATACAATAATAGGAAACCATTTCCAATTTATTGATATTATAAACAACACTGTGAAGGGAAACTTTAAAATTTATTTTTTTAACATAAATGCCTAGGTACAGAATTTCTGATTTGGTGGGTAGGTATGTTTTTCAGGTGTTTCAGTTTTCTTTATACCTTTGCTGAATACTATTCTTTTTAAACTTTACTAACCTGAGAGTACACCAAACAACCAAAAAAAGGAATAACCAGGGATCGAACCTGTGCCCCCTGCAGTGGAAGCGTGGAGCCCTAACCACTGGACTGGCAGAGAATTCCCGGGTATCTCATTATGTTAATTTAGAGTTCTTTGATTTTCATTTTGTCGGTGGAGTGGCTTATTCAAGTCTATGGAAGATTGTATGTTTGTTTGAAACTATCACCCAGTCTTTCTGCCCTCTGCTGTGAGAGCTGCATGCCCCATATAGGGATTTCTCCTTCAGCCCGGGTCCTGGAATAAGAAGGCACAAGGTAGACTCACAACTGACCCACAACCCCTACGTAACATGAGGGAGAAATCAGTAAATGTTTTCTAAGTCGCTGAGATTTTAGGGTTGTTTGGTAGGCAGCAGAATTGACTAACGCCATGTGTTATGCCAATTTTCCTTTGGATTTTGAAAAATGATTTTCAAGAATACTTTGTGCAGAGTATATTAACCTATACTTACCACATGTATATATTTTTACTCTGTTTGCAATTTGTCTTAATATTACTTCTGCTGATAAATTTCATTTTACCATTTGTGTGACTAAATGTATCAGCTGTTTCCTTTATGGTTTCTGCCTTTGATGTCACCTGTAAGCTTCTCTGTGCCAGGAATATTTAAATATTCATCTATATTTTCTTCTGGCACTTTTAGAGTTTCATTTGGTTTTACTTTATTTTTTTTTCTTCCTGTTTTATTGAGGTATAGTTGAAATACAGCACTGTATAAGTTTAAGGTGTACAGCATAATAATTTGACTTACATACATCATGAAATGATTATCACAATGTTTAGTTGAACATCCATCATCTCATACAGATGCAAAATTAAAGAAGTAGCAAAAAATTGTTTCCCTTGTGATGAAAACTGTTAGGATGTACTCTCTTAACTTTTATGTATAACATAGAGCGGTGTTAATTATATTTATCTTGCTGTACATTACATCCCTAGTACTTACTTATCTTATAACTGGAAGTCTGTACCTTTTGACCACCTTCATCCAATTCCCCTCACCCCACCCCTATCCTCTGGTAACCACAAATCTGATCTCTTTTTCTATGAGTTTGCTTTTGAAGTATAATTGACTTACAACACTGTGTTCCTGGTACACAATATAGTGATTTGATGTTTCTGTACATTTTTAAATGATCACCACCATTTGCTTTTACTTTAATATTGTTAATACATCTGGAATTTAATTTGGTGGGAGTTGAGGATGTAACATAATTTTTTCTCTAAATTTTTTTCTGATTAGCCACTATTCCTAATTGCAATTATCAAAGATCGCATCCTTTCTCCACTGACTTGAAATACCACCTTTCAGTATATACTAAATTTCTGTCTTTGTATTCTGCTCTGTTCCAGATCTCTTTGATTATTCCTGCCTACCATTTTAATAGCTGCAGCTTTTATTATCAGGACTTTTCTCATTATTCCTTTTCTCCTTTTTTAAACCTTGAAATGTTAGTTGTCTTCAAGGTTAACTTCAGAGTCCTTTTATCAAAGTTTATGAGAAATCACTCTTTAAATTTATGAATTAATTTGGGGAAGAATTAAACACTGCAAATATTGACTGGCCTATTCAGGAACTGTATAAGTGGCTTTCATTTTATCCATACCTTCTTTTATGTCTCTGAAGTAAAGTTTTCTTCATATAGGTCCTACACATTTCTTTGAAGTTTATTTCTGTGTATTTTACCTACTTTGATTTGTAATGATATCTTTGGTTTTTTTAGTCATGTATTAAATTCCTTTATGTAATAGGGACTTTTTGGGGTATTTTGTGTAGTACTTGTTCGTGTTGTCTTATTCCATATTTGTATATACTGAAATATATAAATATATACACATTGTTTTTGAATTTTATTTTATTTATTTTTTTAACACATATATATTTTAATTTTCCTTTACTCACTGTTACTTTTTAAGGGCTTTTATTTTAATTTATTTTTCATGTGTTTTGTTTTGGTAACCACACCTGTTTTTCTTCCAAATTAACTTTATTTCACTGTCAAGTTAAAAAAAATCTGTTGGCATTTTTATTATAATTGCATTAAATCAAAAAAAAAAGTTCTTGAAGACATGATCTACAGCTTTTCTTTTTCTTCTAGGAACATAATAGGAATCTAAAATTTTTAAATTTAGGAATCTAAAATTTCAAGACCTTTGCCGTATACCTGGAGAATTGCCAAACTGGATTGGGCCTGAATTAACTAGAGAGATTTCAGAGATCTTCCCCTATTTGGCAGAAGTTAAGATGATCAAAGTACAAAGACTTTTCCATGGATTGGCAATTCCTGATAAACATGAGAAAGTAGAATTTGAACTGGAAATGGAATTTGGGAAACATGAAAATATTGCAATTTCATCATTTTGCTCTTTTGTCCTTAAAGTTAGAGATCTTTCTGGTCACACATAGGTACCTTATGAGGGAGACATAAATGAGACTATAAAAGGCTTCTGATTAGGTTCAGAAGCTAGCCAACCTTCTTTTTATGCTGTGAACATCTAGCTATAGAAGTAAATGATAGAATTTCCTTAATCAGGGAGAGGTTCAGTTCTGACAGGTGGCTTTAGGACATTGGACTCCCAATCGATGCCCTCAAGTAACGCTGGAGACCCAGAGGCATGCCTAGTAGTCAGCACAGTTGCCGGTCGTGTGATTAAGTCTTCATCTATACACATTTTTAAAAAATTAATTAATTAATTAATTAATTTTTTTTTTTTTTGGCTGTGTTGGGTCTTCGTTGCTGCCCACAGGCTTTCTCTAGTTGTGGTGAGCAGGGGCTACTCTTCATTGTGGCGCGCGGGCTTCTCACTGCCGTGGCTTCTCTTGTTGCAGAGCTTGGGCTCTAGGCACGTGGCCTCCAGTAGTTGTGGCACGCAGGCTTCAGTAGTTGTGGCGTGTGGGCTTAGTTGCTCTGTGGCATGTGAAATCTTCCCGGACCAGGGCTTGAACCTGTGTCCCCTGCATTGGCAGGGGATTCTTAACCACTGCGCCACCAGGGAAGTCCCAAGTCTTCATCTGTATCCTTCATCACGGTGCTGTTGTGCAGGTGGCTTGTTGCTCACTTTCTTTTTGGCCTCAGTTTCACCAACTCGCCCCGTGGGCTAGTGGAGGCCCTGCTTTTCATCTACTGTCTGTTCAATAGTGACTTTACCCAAGACTGGAATCAATGAAAATTTTCTTACGCCAGTTTCAGAGTCCGGGATACTGATGCTTTGAAGTCAATTGCTATTTGTTTTAAAAATTGCTGTTTTAAAGTCCCTTTTTCATGTGGTATATGATGAGTTTGGAAAAGCTAAATCTTGAGGACAGAATTTCAGTAAGCGTTTAAAACTACCGTAATAGAATACCAGAATTTTTCCAATGCACTTTCATGGATAGAATCGAATTGCTAAATTTTCCCATTGAAATATGGAAATGGTGATACACTATGGCTTATAAATAAGTCTTTTACTAGCCCTTTAATATATTGTGCTCATCTTTGAAAAATAATCTACTGGAAGCAAATTTTTAATTTTTACATTGCCTTTTTATCCCAGGTGAAGTGTTTGTCTTAAACGATGGTGGAGAAGTTGATTTAGACCTTGGAAATTATGAAAGGTTCTTGGACATTAATCTTTATAAAGACAACAACATCACCACTGGGAAGATATATCAACATGTGATCAATAAAGAGAGGCGTGGCGATTACCTGGGGAAAACAGTACAAGGTATTATATTCCACAAACATTAGGGGCCCTATGTGCTGAGCACTCACACCCTGCTCAAAATAGACCTGAAGATGAGGGGGTCCCTGTGCTCTACAAGCTCCAATCCTTTTCAGATCCCTGTTTTCTCCTCCTTTTCTTTCCTTCCTTTTTTTTTTTCTCCAGTTTTATTGAGCTATAATTGACATACAGCACTGTATAAGTTTAGGGTGTACAGCATAATGGTTTGAGTTACATACATCATGGAATGATGACCACAATAAGTTTAGTGAACATCCATCATCTCTGATAGATGCAAAATTAAAGAAACAGACAAAAATGTTTCCCTTGTGATGAAAACTCTTAGGATTTACTCTCAACAACTTTCATATATAACATAGAGCAGTGTTAATTATATTTATCATGGTGTGTATACATCCCTAGTACTTATTTATCTTATGACTGGAAGTTTGTACCTTTTGACTACCTTCATCCAGTCCCCCCTGCCCCATAACCACAAATCTGATCTGCCTCTTTTATGAGTTTGTTTGTTTTTGACGTATAACTGACCTGCAACACTATGTTAGTTCCTGTTACACAACATAGTGGTTTGATGTTTTTATACATTTCAAAATGATCACCGCGATGTCACCATACAAACTTTTACTTTTCATTTTCCTCAAAGATTTCAAGTTCATCCTCCATGTTCCTGATTGATTGTATTTTCATCAGTCTTTTTTTTTTTTTAACTAATGTCATTGTTTCCTTTAGTCCATGTTTCTGTCCTCTTTCTCTTTCTCTCTTTAGCTTTTATTTATAAAATCCATGGGGAACCATTTATTCATCACACATCTGACTGGGGTATAGATTTATTTTGGTTTGTTTTTGTCTGTCCTTTATTTAATATGTTCTTTTTCTACATTTTTCTTGTATCTTTGCATGGATGATGATTACTCCCCTTTGAAGAAGAGCAGTGATGGGGGGGACGTGGGGGGTGCAGGGATTGAACTGGAGGGCAGCATGATATGACCCTTTTTTCACCAACCCTTTTCATGGGGGGTATGATTCTTATTCTCTTTTGTCCTTGAAGAGAGACCCGCAGGCCCCCCCCCCCCGCTTGTATTCATAAGTTCCTACGTGGTAGGGTAAAGGTGCTAATTCCCCATCCCCTTTAAATCACCTTCATGTTGGAAAGCAGCTGAGAAGTAGATAAAGAAGTTGGACAGATGGAGATCAAAAGATCAGCTATGTTACTGCTGACACTGGACAGTGTGGTTTAGATCTTAGCTACAATTGTACTTTCTAATAGTTTTCCCCCAAGTGTAGATATTGGGAAGACCCGGGGGAGGGAGAGTTGCTGCCTCATACCTGCCACGTCCCAAACTTGGGGAGAGGGCAAGGCCCCAGACCTGGGCCTTGACCCCGATCCCTGAGCTGCCCACGTGGAGGCAGAGCCAGACCTACCCCGCCCTCCCAGAAAGGGGTCGGGCTGGGCATGTGTGGTGGGTCGTTCCAAACGCACCAATCAGAGACGACTTCCGCCTCGCGGGAGCAGTTGGGGCCGGGGAGCTGCAGGTGGCAGTGGAGTAGATGACAGGCGCTCTCCGCGTCAGCTTCCCAGAGGCCAACATTCCTGCTTTGTACATCACATTAGGTTAGTTGGCTGCATCTTTTTGTCTCTTCGGCTGAGATTAGCAGCCTCAGGCCCCTGGTCAGCATGCAGGCCTCGTCTATACCCTCTGAGTGACCCTTCCACACTGGCTGGCGAATTGCCCAGGGTCTGCAGGGCTGGGCCACTCTGAGACCTTCTTCCCCTTGGAGTCCAGTATTCAGCACCCTTGGCAGCCCTCCTTGCACAGTTTTTAGTTGGCATTATAGGTGTTTTCTATAGATAGCATCAAAGATGGCATTTCTTCTCTCTCTCTGTGGTTGGTCGATTTCAAGGGAAATGGCATAACATTTAAATGACTAAACCTATGTTGCATCGATAGTATTAATTTCAGTGAGATGGATAATAATGTGAGGACTGTAGCTTGTCTAATTTGCCAGGTGGGTTTCAGGTTATTTGGGAGGTCTAAAGACACTAATACATTCATTTCTCATGACCATGACCATGAAATAAGCTTTTGTGCTAATTATTACTTCTTTCTACAGTTGTCCCTCACATTACTGATGCTGTCCAGGAGTGGGTTATGAATCAAGCCATGGTGCCTGTGGATGGTCATAAGGAAGAGCCCCAAATATGTGTTATTGAGGCAAGCATGGAACTTTTCGTTATAATTTTATATCCTTATGGGTTTTTAAGCAGCTGGTCTTCATTCATTCAACAGATATGTGTAGATGGCCTCATGTGTCCTGGACACCGGCCTAGGAGGTGGGATTACAGCAGGGAGCGACATAGATGGCCCCTGCTTTTGTGGTCACAAGTCAGTGGGCAAGATTGGCTTAAACTGGGTGATTACTCCTGGGGTGGGCGTGCAGCAGTCTGCAAGTGAGGACTGACCAGTCACAGAATGCATTCTACTGAGTGCCGTTTGCAAAGTGCTTTGGAAGTAGAGAGAGACCAAGTTAGGGAAGTCCGACTGTAGAGGTGATTTGGAGGTGAGAAGTGAGTACTAGCTGTTTAAAGAAAGAGCTTAGTATTTGAACTTGCCGCTTGTTCACTGCTTCCCTTCTTCTCAATATGCAGAATGAGAATAACATCCATGTACTCCTTATCTAAAGGTCAGTTGACCTAATTGCCAGACGGGACAGCAGAATAATGAACATTTTGGTTCCTAGAGGCAGACTCCCCAAGTTCACATTTCTGCCCTCACCCCCAAGTGGTGTATGGCTTAGTGGTTAAGAGTCTGGAGTCAGAGTGCTTGGGTTCATAGCCCAGCTGGTTCACTTACCAGCTGGGTGACCTTGGCCAAGTTTGCTTAACTACTCTGTGCCTCAATTTATTCATCTACCAAGTGGGGATAATGTTTTGAGGATTAAATAAGCCAATACGTTTAGTGCTTAGATTGTGTTGGATCTATACTAAGTGCTCGAAAATTATTAACCATTGTTAAGATGCTTGTATGACTTGGCAAGTTACTTCTCAAAGTGTCAATGTACTCATCTATAACAATACGATAGTGTAATATTGTAATAACAACAAGATAATAATAACAGGGTTGTTGCAAGAATTAAATATAATAATGTAAAAAGCACTTGGCCATGTCTGGCATTTAGGAGGTGCTCAATAAACATGTTAGCTGCTATTATTGTCAGCGTTATCAGTGTTTGCAAATAGATATTATGCTACCCACAATATCCATTTCGTTAATAGTAGAGCTGATAATCTTAACGTAAATGCACTGTACTATCATATATTAATTATATATTTTGCTACTGTAATGGTATGGTTGATAAACTTAATGTAAATGTATAAGTGTGCCATATAAAATTTTCTCTCCCTTTGTATTTCTTCCTTCACAATTTACGAGGAAAGAGAGGATGCTTCCTTTATAATTTTTAAAAATCGGAGTATAACATAAACACAGAAAAGTGCACATATCACAGATGTATAGCTTGGTGAAGTTTTATAAACTGACCATGTCTGCATAACTAGGCTTGCTTCCTTTAAAAAAATTTAATATCTAATACAGTGAATAGTTTGCAAACAAATCGAGGCAATGATAAAGACAAATAGTGTGAGAAAAGAGAAAGGCAGGAAAAGTGTCAGGAGAATAACATCTGATATGGGAACAAAGATGTAAACCGGGGCGTAGCTTGACTCTACGGTGAAGGAGACTTGCACGGTCACTCTCTTTATTGATTTTCAGTTTTTAGGACCCATCTCCAGGATGAATCAGAGAAACCTTAAAAGCAGGAATGTGTCATCAACTTTGAAAAGAGGGATCGTGAGGTGGAGGGGGTGGAGGAGTGCTGGAGGGGAAGGGTGGTGGGCAGAACCTCATTTTACACTGCGAGGGTCTACAGATACTGTTAGTATTTGGCTGAAAAAGAAGCAAAAGTATCTCAGGTTAGGAAAGTAACCAGTAGAATTAACAATTGAGATTGGTATCTGGGGATGGGGGTACCAGAGACCTGCATCCTTATCTGTCATAGCAGGAAGTACACCTACGTTCATTACAGGGTGTCTGAAATAGCTAAGTTGAGGAAGAGCTGAGATGGATGAGCTTTGGTTTAGAGATATGGAGGTAACTACCAGAAGAAATCCCAACAAAGAAGTTCAAGCGCTTGCCGGGCTTCCCTGGTGGCACAGTGGTTAAGAATCCGCCTGCCAGTGCAGGGGACATGGGTTCGAGCCCTGGTCCGGGAAGATCCCACATGCTGCGGAGCAACTAAGCCCATGCACCACAACTACTGAGCTTGTGCTCTAGAGCCCGCGAGCCACAACTACTGAGCCTGCGAGCCACAACTACTGAAGCCCGTGCACCTAGAGCCCATGCTCTGCAACAAGAGAAGCCACCGCAGTGAGAAGCCCGCGCACCGCAACGAAGCGTAGCTCCCGCTCCCCGCAACTAGAGAAAGCCCACGCGCAGCAACGAAGACCCAATGCAGCCAAAAATAAATAAACAAAGTAAATAAAAAAATAAAGCGCTTGCCTTGGGGAATCAGACTTGGGAGAGGGAAGAGTGGGGCAGGGAACTCTTGCTTTCTATTGTAAGCTCTGCTGTACAATTTGGTTTTTAACCATGTGCATGCATTATTTTACTTTTTGAAAAAAACTTATTAATGTCAACTTGAAGGTGCCATTTAGCAATTTCAAAATCTTAAAGATCAGCCCAAGACTGATTTTATTCAAGCCCAGCAAAGGGTCGGACAAGCCCTCACACCTTTGGTTTACAGTGGTTATTTGTTGCAGAGTACCACCTTGTCCAATATGGTAGCCACTCTCCACATGGGGCTGTTGAGCACGTGAAAGTAGCCCATCCAAACTGAGACGTGCTGTGAGTTTAAAATATAACTGGGTTTCAAAGACTTAGTATGAAAAGAAAAAGAATGTAAAGTGCCTCATAATTTAAAAAAAATTGGTGATGTTGAAATGATAATATTTTCGATACACTCTGCTACATAAAATATAGTGTTAAAATTAATTTCTCCACTTTAATTTTGCTTTTTTCCCATTTATTTATTTATTTATTTAATTTATTTATTTTTGGCTGCGTTGGGTCTTTGTTGCTGCATGCGGGCTTTCTCCAGTTGCAGCGAGCGGGGGCTACTCTTTGTTGCGGTGCACGGGCTTCTCATTGTGGTGGCTTCTCTTGTTGTGGAGCACAGGCTCTTGACGCAGAGCGCGGGCTCTTGGCGCACGGGCTTCAGTAGTTGTGGCATGTGGGCTCAGTAGTTGTGGCACGTGGGCTCAGTAGTTGTGGCTCACGGGCTCTAGAGCACAGGCTCAGTAGTTGTGGCGCACAGGCTTTGTTGCTGCGCGGCATGTGGGATCTTCCCAGACCAGGGCCTGAACCTGTGTCCCCTGAGTTGGCGGGTGGATTCTTTTTTTTTTAATTTTAATTTTTTATTTTTTAACATCTTTATTGGAGTATAATTGCTTTACAATGGCGTGTTAGTTTCTGCTTTATAACAAAGTGAATCAGCTATACATATACATATATCCCCATATCTCCTCCCTCTTGTGTCTCCCTCCCTCCCTCCCTATCCCACCCCTCTAGGTGGTCACAGAGCACTGAGCTGATCTCCCCGTGCTAAGTGGTTGCTTCCCACTAGCTATCGATTTTACATTTCGTAGTGTATATATGTCCATGCCACTCTCTCACTTCATCCCAGCTTACCCTTCCCCCACCCCGTGTCCTCAAGTCCATTCTCTACGTCTGTGTCTTCATTCCTGTCCTGCCCCTAGGTTCTTCATAACCATTTTTTTTTAATTCCATGTATATGTGTTAGCATGCGGTATTTGTTTTTCTCTTTCTGACTTACTTCACTCTGTGTGACAGACTCTGGGTCCATCCACCTCACGACAAATAACTCAATTTCGTTTCTTTTTATGGCTGAGTAATATTCCATTGTATATATGTGCCACATCTTCTTTAACCATTCATCTGTTGATGAACACTTAGGTTGCTTCCATGTCCTGGCTGTTGTAAATAGAGCTGCAATGAACATTGTGGTACATGACTCTTTTTGAATTATGGTTTTCTCAGGGTATATGCCCAGTAGTGGGATTGCTGGGTCATATGGTAGTTCAATTTTAGTTTTTTAAGGAACCTCCATACTTTTCTCCATAGTGGCTGTATCAATTTGCATTCCCACCAAGAGTGCAAGAGGGCTCCGTTTTCTTCACACCCTCTCCAGCATTTATTATGTGTAGATTTTTTGATGATGGCCATTCTGACTGGTGTGAGGTGATACCTCATTGTAGTTTTGATTTGCATTTCTCTAATGATTAATGATGTTGAGCATTCTTTCATGTGTTTGTTGGCAATCTGTATACCTTCTTTGGAGAAATGTCTATTTAGGTCTTCTGCCCATTTTTGGATTGGGTTGTTTGTTTTTTTGATATTGAGCTGCATGAGCTACTTGTAAATTTTGGAGATTAATCCTTTGTCAGTTGCTTCATTTGCAAATATCTCCTCCTATTCTGAGGGTTGTCTTTTCCTCTTGTTTATGGTTTCCTTTGCTGTGCTAAAGCTTTGAAATTTCATTAGGTCCCATTTGTTCATTTCTGTTTTTATTTCCATTTCTCTAGGAGGTGGGTCAAAAAGGATCTTGCTGTGATTTATGTCATAGAATCTTCTGCCTGTGTTTTCCTCTAAGAGTTTTGTAGTGTCTGGCAGGTGGATTCTTAACCACTGCAACCAGGGAAGTCCCTATATTGTGAATTGATGAGCATCATAAATTTCGTCAACATCCATCATCTCACGTAGTTACAAAGTTTTTTTTTTCCTGTGATGAGAACTTTTAAGATTTACTCTCTCAGCAACTTTCAGAGAAGATTCCTTTCCTTAAAGGCAAAATGGACATTGCACATCCCATAAATTTGTTTGACGGCTGCTTCAGCTTTGGTTTGGATAGATCTTAACATGTTGTTATGGGTGATATTTTCCCTGTTGTGTGAGGAAAGAATTAACTTAGGGCTACTCTAGGAATAACACTGAAAGTTTCTGATCACAATGACGATAATGGTGAACCAGAGGAGAAATGGGACTTTCCAAATTGGCAGAGCGGGTGCAGTGGGGGTGGAAGCAGGTAACGTTTAAAGCTTTTGCTTCCTTTTCCGGATTCCCTGCTTACTCCCAGAATAGCCCCCATCAAAAACCAGAAAATGCGTCCTTATGGTTTAGTTTAAGTGCAGACCTCTTTTTTTCCTACATATTTTCCCCCCCATTGGATTCTGGTGTATGGTGAGCACTTACACTCCTCACCCCCTGGCAGTTTCCTGATTTCATGTTTTATTTCTTGGATTTTCATAATTAAGTTTGTCATTCATTTACAGAATGATCATACATTTCTATCTGTTCCATAGCCAGGAGAATTGAATTTTAATTATGTTTTGTTATCTTAGTTAAAGTTAGTAAAGAATAATTTCTTCTGTAGCAATGAAGTCCTCAGACTTCTTAGTTTGATTCTGTTGTAATTATGGTAACAGGTACTAGAATGCTGTGACCTAGGGCTTATATTGAATTTCAAGACCGTTCTGTCCTGTCCTGACCACTAACCTAAACTCCCAGTGCTGTGTGCAGGGCTCTGGACTTGTGCTGGAGATACGGCAGGCAAGTTCCTGCCCTCATGGGCCTTACAGCCCAGTGGGGTAGAGAGACAGGAGACAAGGACTCAAATAAAATAATGGCACCTTGTACTGTGTTACTAGGAAGGGGAGAGACAGGGTGCTTCAGGTGGGTGGTCAGGGTTGGGCTCTCTGGGGGGGACACAGCTCCCCGGGCTGAAGGATAAAATGGAAGTAAGGTGTAGATGATGAAGGTGGGTAGGAGGGCCTAAGAGGCAGGAAGGAAGACCGTAACCCATGTGAGGACCTAAAAGGCCAGTGGGGCTGGAGCACAGAGGTGGAGGCTGGGGGAGTAGGGGGATGGGAAGGGGGCAGGTGGGAGTGGGGCATGAGATGAGATTAGAGATACGTTTCAGGGTCAGATCATGTAGGGCCTTTTGTTGGCTGCCTAAAGGAGTTTAGATTTTATTTTTAGTCAAGCAGTGAGCTGCTGAAGGTTATAAGCATGGGAGAGATGTATTCTGAGTTTTAAAAGGTCACTCTGCTGCTATATGACAGACGGTTGGTAGGACAGGAGAGGGTGGAAGCTGGGAGGCCATTAAAATTGGGGGCAGCCAACTTTTTCTGTAAAGGGCCAGATAGTAAATATGTTTGGTTTTGCAGGTCAGGGAGTCTCTGTCACAGCTACTCCACTCTGCCATTGCAGTGCCCAAGCAGCCTTAGGTGACGTGTGGGTGGGCGTGGCCGTGTGCCAGTATAGCTTCATGTGTGAAAATAGACAGCAGGCCATCTTAGCCACCGCAGGCGTAGACGATTGCCATAATCCCTGCAAAAGATGGTGTTGGCTTGGGCGTCTAGGGTGGTAGTGGTGGAAATAGCAGTGGAGAGATTTTCAAGAATGTTTTGGAGGTACAGCTCACTGGACAGGGTTGGGTAAGGAAAAGGCAGGAATGGAGGATGATTTCCAGACCTCTAGCTTGAACCCATTAGTGGTAGGAGATGCTGTTGCTGAGATGAGGGAGAAGCCCCCAGACAAACAGGCCCAGGGCTGTGGGGACCAGGGGTTCAGTTTGGGCCATGGTAAGTTTGAATACTTACTGATCCATCCAAGATGTCACGGACACGTTGGCTTCAAAGCCCAGCGGCACTGGGAGGAGAGGTCCGGGCTGCAAGTAGATTTTGGACCTAGTCGAGTAGCTGAAGCCAGGAAAGGTGGTGAATCCTGGGCCTGGGTCCACCATGATCTCTTCCTCCTCAGCATCCCGATTATTCCACTTCGTGCTCAAGTTTTGCTCTTGCTTTATTGTTCTTTAGCTCTGCCTTATTCTCCTCGCTAAACTCCGAGCTCCTCAGGAGCAGGTTGTCTTAAGTTCTTCCCAGCAGCTCATTTAAAGTGTTGAGCCCATAGTAGATGCTCAAATGCTAAAGAATTAATTTAAAAATCTGGGTGATAATCTTTAAGTATTTAAATATGGTGAGGATGAATGCGTTAAGGTGAAATTTTATCCTTGTCTAAAGTAAAATGCTTAAGTAACTTTATTGGAAGTACAATGTAAATTAAGTTAACATTTGTCAAAGGATTACACTGTCAGGAATATTCTCGGGGCTTTTGGTACTACTTCTTTCAGAGAGACAGCATGTTTTAGTACAAGTGATTTAATTCTGGTAGTACCACCATTACAAGGAGACTGTTCAGCTGCATACAGGTGTGTGTGTGTGTGTGTGTGTGTGTGTGTGTGTATGTGTGTATGTGTGTTCATGAAGAGAGAGAGACAGAGACAGAGACAGAGAGAGAGACAGAGAGAGGGAGAATGCTAACTGTTTCACACCGGGCAGAACCAGATGGCTCTCCCTTTTCTCATATTGTCACCGGATTTCAATTCTCCCTTCCAACGGGACCACTGGTAGAAACTAACTGATCTCACTCCTCTGTGGTGTATATTCTGGATCTTTTAATCTGCTTAGGAATTCCCTTCTCTATTCTTAAAGTGCTCTTTTTTTTTTTTTAAACAAACCCTTTTTTAAAAAAAAATTATTTATTTATTTATTTTTGGCTGCGTTGGGTATTTGTTGCTGCACGCGGGCTTTTCCCTAGTTGGGGCGAGCGGGGCTACTCTTCATTGCGGTGCGTGGGCTTCTCATTGTGGTGGCTTCTCTTGTTGCGGAGCACGGGCTCTAGGCACGCGGGCTTCAGTGGTTGTGACTCGTGGGCTCTAGAGCACAGGCTCGGTAGTTGTGGCACACGGGCTTAGTTGCTCCGCGGCATGTGGGATCTTCCCAGAGCAGGGCTCGAACCCGTGTCCCCTGCCTTGGCAGGCAGATTCTTAACCACTGTGCCACCAGGGAAGTCCCACTCCTTTTCTTTAAAAAAATTTTTTTTCAGTCTTGATGAGGTGAAGCGTTCACAGCCTATTAGTGATCCCCGTTTTGGGGGGACTTCAGTTCTCACGCTTAGTGTATTAAGAATTGTTCTGTTAGTCTGTGTACCACGGAAGCTATTTGATCTCTTGTGTCTTTTTTTTCCATTCCCAGCTGGGTGGCACCATTGGAGACATTGAAGGAATGCCATTTGTGGAAGCGTTCAGACAATTCCAGTTTAAAGCAAAAAGAGAGAATTTCTGTAATATCCATGTTAGCCTTGTCCCACAGGTGAGCTTTCCAGATAAGTGTGTAGTCAGCAACTCCTGTAGGTCTTCCTATGATACTCTGTTTATTCCACTTTCTTTCTGTTTTGGCCGCATCGTGTGGCATGTGGGATCTTAGTTCCCTGACCAGGGATTGAACCTGCGCCCCCTGCAGTGGAAGCGCAGAGTCAACCACTGGACTGCCAGGGAAGCCCCCTATTCCAAATTTTAAACCAGGAAGCCATTCATTATCCAGAAGAGCTAGATGTCCAGTGTACTGACAGTGACCCATTTCTTTTCAGCCCAGTGCTACTGGAGAACAGAAAACCAAACCCACACAAAACAGTGTCCGTGCGTTGAGGGGGTTAGGCCTGTCTCCCGATCTGGTGAGTTAAAGAGAGTGGGTAAGTTTCTTGGAATAGGACCTCCATTTCTTAAACTATAACATCATCTAAGTCCTTCCTAGCTCTCAAATGGTTTCTATGACTGAGCTTTTTGTATCTGGGAGCTGGGGAAGGCTTATTCCCTCATCCTCAAGTGTCGCTTCACACATTTCTAAATTGGCCATCTCTTCTTCTCCAGGTCCTCATTTGACTGGCCACACTGACATCTGGGCAAGTGCAATGTCCTGTCATCTGTGTGGTCCCCGGGTCCCTTAGAGGGAGGTGGGACCTGGGAGATTTTCCTATGAGCCTGCTAGGTGGGGCTATCCCTGCTCTTATTTATAGCAGTAATCCAGTTATTGCCAGTAGTCTAGATCAGAGGCTGGCAAGTAAGGGCCTGCAGACCTGCCTCCTGTAAAGGAAGTTGTCCACATTTATCTCTGGCTGCCTTTGCTCATGGCGGTACCGTGAGGAGTCAGGGCAGGAGCTGCACGACCTGCAAAGCCTAAAGCTTTTACCACCTGGCCCTTTAGAGAAAAGTTTGCCAACCCTTGGTCTGGCTCTATTCTTGTAGTTTTAAAGAAGTAACATATGTGAGCCTCGAGTCTGTTCGCTAGAAATGCCTTGACATTTCCTACCGGTGGATTTGTGTTGAGTTTGGTTACACTTGCTTATATTAGTGCTCAGACCAATTTCTAGTAGCCCAGTGGAACGCCCAGGATGGAGAAATGCCCACTCGGTCAAATCTTCTGGAGCAAAATTAATGTAGCGTCCTCCTGAAAATCAGTGGCGGTGTGAACAGCCCAATTCCTGTCTGCTAACCCCATGCGTAATCGACTTTGACAGATTGTCTGCCGAAGTTCAACGCCCATCGAAATGGCTGTGAAGGAAAAGATTTCTATGTTTTGTCACGTGAACCCTGAACAGGTTAGTGCTGCTCTTTAGATTTGAATGCCTTGCAGGCGCTTCTGCTGATGCCAGCATTTCACACCTCTTAAGTTATCGTATTACTTTTCACAACATTTATAAAAGATTTGGGGGACTCATATGCAACTACGGCTCCCTTGCCCTTAAGGGAACAGTCTTGAGACTCCTGAAATAGATTGTGTGTTTCACTCCTTAAGTTTTAATTGTAGGTACAAAACCAGGTGGGTTGTTTTTTTTAACTCGCAGTCCAACCTCTAGAGAGAGAACCATTTGAAGCCTGCTTATCGTCTCTTTATCTTGTCTTTCCAGGACACTTACGGCTTTTACTTTGATTTCTCTTTTGTACTTGTTACAGCTTAACTCACCCCAAACCACACATTACGGTGACATTCACACTGTCACTTCTGATTGCATCAGTGACCTCAGCTCAGTTCACTGCTACAAAAACCACTGTGACGTGGGTTCAGGTCCTCTGTTCTGCAGGACTTTCCACCTGGATATCCAAGAGCTGGCTTTTCTTTTCTCTTTCATCTTTTTCTCTTTCATCTGCTTATCTCTGTCTCTTGTTTGCCAGAAGGCTCAGGCACAAGGGATTGGAGTTTAAAAAGTGATATGACGTGTGCTCAGGAAGAGGGCGAGGTTTGTCAGAAACCTTTTGTCTTCTTCAGATTAGCTCGGGGTTCTCTGAAGCCTAAAAACCACCTAATCAGATTTCTGAGTCTCAGGAGGCAGGCTGATGTATTCACTGCCTGATGCTTCACGGTCAGTGCACAAGTCTGAACTCCTTTGAAAAATGTGATAGCAGGTTTAAAGCACTCTCCTATATCTGTGTGTCGTCAAGCCATTTTGGTTTTGTTCCGTTGTTTTTTGTAAATAGTACTTGGTGTGGGTATCACACACATTTAACCTGGTTTCCGAAGTAGAAGGATACAGCTTTTAGAGTTGGGTTGCTGAGAGCTCTGCGAACAGATGATACAGTCCAAACTTTCAACCGTATGGAGTCTCTTTTCTTTTCTTTTTTTTTTGGCCATGCCACATGACTTGCGGGATCTTAGTTCCCCGACCAGAGATTGAACCTGGGTCACGGCAGTGAAAGTGCTGAGTCCTAACCACTGGACCGCCAGGGAATTCTTGAGTTTATTTTCTTTATAAGTATAGATTCTGAAGAATGTTCTATCTCATCAGTCCACAGGCTAGTCTGTTAGCCATTTTTTAGCACACTGCTTTTTTTAAAAAAAATTTTTATTGGAGTATAGTTGATTTACAATGTTGTGTTAGTTTCTGCTGTACAGCAAAGTGAATCGGCTATACATATACATATATCTATCTACTCTTTTTTAGATTCTTTTCCCATATAGGTCATGACAGAGTATGGAGTAGAGTGCCCTGTGCTATACAGTAGGTTCTTATTAGTTATCTATATTTTATATACAGTAGTGTGTATATGTCAATCCCAATCTCCCAATATCCCCCCCATTACTCCCCCCCCACCCAGTAACCATAAGTTTGTTTTCTACATCTGTCAGCACATTGCTTTTTCTCACATGAGTTAATTCTCCCATTTCTTAGTTCTTGGTGAACTTGCGTTTAGAGCTCTTCTCACCTGGATTGCTGAGGAGGGAATGGAAAGTCACAGGTGTCTCTGTGATGTTCTCTGTTACCATGATATTTGAAAAAATGTCTCTGGCTTGGAGGATAAATGAGTAAATAGCTCCACACCTCATGCCTTCCACTTGTGGGAGTTGTGGCTGTCCATAGATTTATCAATAATTTTAATTATTAATTGGGATGGAGCGTCATATCAGTGACATCTTGGCACTTTGAATTGTATCAGGGAATGCATGGGTGAGACACAATAGTCTTAAGTATCAAGTTGTCCATGTCCAAACAGCTTAGGAACCCTTGGTTGGATAGCTATGGATTGGGAAAGACTGAACACATAGAGTTGGCAGAACATTTCTTGGCATTTATTTAGGATGTGGCAGATCCTTAAATGCCTGCCAGTAGCCCTTTGCATGTACCTGAGAGGGTGGTGAAAGCTCGTTAGGGTGTGAAAAACAACCACACCACCTGGCACTTAAAAGAGCCTTTTTCCCCTCACAAGTGTAATTAATTTAAGTGTGTTAATGTGTGCGTCTAAATTTACCCAAATGAAGGGAGCACAGACAAAAGCAACTACAGAGGCAGCAGCAACAACAAATGAGTGAACAAACAAACTTCATACCCACACTTAGAAGACAAGGTATATGTATTCATTGCTACTGCCTTAACCTAGGCTTAGAAGATGGTGCCTTGGGCCGTGTGTCTTTGATACTGACATAAAGCATTCATGTTCCAATACCAAGTCTCTGACACCCCCTGGGGTTCCTGCAGTTCAACTCAGACACTAACTACCTGGAGTGAGCATCAGACTCCGCAGGTCTTTATAAGACTGCCGTGCACTTCAGACACTCGCCGCAGGTTTCTATTGTCCCAAGCCACCCACACTTCTGCCGGGCTGACTACAAAGTTGAAGCTTCCCATAACCACCTCAAGTTTGATAATTCTCTAGAATGACTCACACCTCCGGAAAGTGCTATATTTATGATTACTGTTTAATTGTAAAGGGTGCAGGTGAAGAGCCCGATGAAGAGACACATAGGGCAAGGTCTAGGAGAGTCCCAGACACAAGAACTTTTATCCCTGTGGAGTCAGGGTGCACCCCCTTCCCAGTACATCTGTAAATTCACTGGCGAGGATGCTCCCCTGAGTCCTGATGTTCAGCCTTTTGATTGGAGTTTCATTACGTAGGCATGATGGAGTGAATCATTGGTCACCTGATTGAACTCAGTCTCTAGCCCCTGTCCCCTCCGTGGAGGTCAGGTGGCTGAAAGTTCCAGCCTTCTAATGACCTGCTTGGTTTTTCTGGTGACCAGCTCCCATCCTGAAGTCATCTAGGGGCCACCCTGCGTCACCTCATTAACTTAACAAAGTTACCCCTATAACTCAGGAAATTTTGAATGTTTTTGAAGCCCTGTGCCCGGAACTACAAACAAAGAATGTGTATATGGGGAAAAATATATATATATTCTACCATAACATCCATGGTTCCAGATGTAGAATAATGACTTCAAAGTGTTTTGTAATTAGATCCAAGTCACCTTGTGTTAATTCTGACTCCTGTTTAGGTTGCTGTGTTCTTGGTTTTCTTCTGTCAGTGATAATAAACTGCTATCTCTCTTGAGTTTTGCCTCATTCCTACGTTCATTTTTGTGGCATACTTGAGTTGTTCCATTAAATATGGTGTTTTATCATCATTGATCAGGTTATATGTATCCACGATGTTTCTTCCACCTACCGAGTACCTGTGCTTTTGGAGGAACAAGGCATCGTTAAATATTTCAAAGAGAGATTGGATCTGCCTATTGGGGATTCTGCAAGCAATTTGCTTTTCAAGTGGAAAAATATGGCTGACAGGTACTGTGAAAGGAATTACTAATGTAAGTTTTCATAATTCTTAGGTTTGGGGGTAGCACTGAGGTGTACCTTGAAAGGTAACTATGTAGCGTTCCACTTTCCACATGGGTATGTTTGGTTCTGGAAATGTCTAAAGCTCTAGCATATTGTTAGGGTGTTTTGCTGTACTCTGAAGATTTCTGGGGCCTTTGATTTTGCTCTACTAAAGCAAAGTGAATTGAAGGCATTTGGATTCCAGCATTCTAAAAAACTTTTGGAAGCATTTATTTATTAGTTTATTATTTCGTTTCTGAATGTTTTAAACAGTTTAAAATGCTACAGGCTTTGTTTTGTTTTGTTTTGCTTATTTTTAAGATTTGGCTAACATTTCTTAAAGAAAATCCTTCTGAGTGGGAAGTTTTGGCTATGGCATTGTTGTTCTATCCTGCAGTTATTAACTATCAGTATCGGCATTAAAAACCCCTGATAGGTTTTAGCTTTAAGACGGTCATATTAATTTCAGCAAGGTTTGTCTAATTTGATGTCATATACAGATTAAATCCCCATCGCCTGTTTTCTTTTACTAAATGTTGCTGAGGCGTGACTCCATAAAGTCCCGGCTGCTTGACTTCTCCTGCAGCTGAAGTAGAGGCAGTAGACGCAGTAGTTGCAAATGAAGGCTTTGGTGTTGCTAAGGAGTAGATCTTAAAAGTTCTTATCACACAAAAAAATTTGTAACTGTGCGCGGTGATAGATGTTAACTAGAATATTGCGGTCATCATTTCGTAATATATAAATATATTGAATCATTAGGTTGTACATCTGGAACTAATGTAATGTATGTCAGTTATATCTCAATGAAAAAACGTAAGCTCTGGTGTCAGGCACCATAGATTCAGAGCCCAGCTTCTCCTTTCACCAGCTGTTTTTGAGTTTGGGTAGATTACTTAACCTCTCTGGGCTTATTCTCCCATCCATATATAACTGGGGGGATACTGGTACCACGTTGTGGCACTTATGAGAGAAAATACACCAGGCCTTAACATCACATCAGGCACTATTGGTTACTGATGTCGGTAACAATAATTTAAATGATTTGATGATGACAAAAGCACTGACCTTTGGTAGATGACTAGTAGATTGAAAGTTATTTTGCCCTTTCACTTTAAAATTTTAAAAGCGTTTTAGAATTTCTGGGGCAAGAAGAATCACGAACAAAGCACATTTTCTGAACTTAGGTGCCCCCATGACTGGTGATACAACTAAGCCCCTGTCCTCCAGAATGCTTAAGGAATCAGTCTCTTCGTAGGAATTTTCTGAGTAGCTTGGGGTTGATCCTCTTTAAGCACTAGAAACTTTAATATTTTAACTCTTCGTGCTGGAAATAGTTCTAAATTTTACTCTATGCCTCTGTGCTTTTTAAAGCCAGTGTTTGGTTTTTGTATTAGTTTCCTGTGTCTGCTGTAATAAGTTACCACAAAATGGGTGGCTTAAACCAATAGAAATTTGTTCTGTCACAGTTGTGGAGGTTAGAAGACCTAAATCAAGGTGTCAGCAGGGTTGGTTCCTTCTGGAACTCTGAGGGAGAATATGTTCCATGCATTTCTCCTGGCTTCTGGGGGCTAGCTTCCTTGGTGTTCCTTGGCTTGTGGGCGCATCACTCCAATCTCTGCCTCTCTTGTCGCATGTCCTTCTCCTTTGTGTCTTCTTCCTTTCTCTTTTATAAGGATGCTTGTCTTTGCAGTTCGGGTCCATTCTAATCCAGGGTGATCTCAACTGGAGATCCTTAACTTAATTGCATCGGCAAAGACCCTGTTTTCCAGATATGGGCACATTCATAGGTTCTGGGGGACATACGTTTTTTGGGGCCACCATTCAGTTCAGGATTCAAGCAAAGGGGATATTGAGCATCAGTCCCTCTGCATCATGTTGGCCGTGATGTTGGTTCATTGGTCATGGCAGTGTGAAGTGTCCATTCTTTAGGCCCTGTCCCCTCAGTACAGCCTGTAGAGAGATACAAGGAGGCACACAGAGGTCAAAGGGACAGCGTTGATCGTGGAGGTCCAGTGCTGCCCAGAGGCCAGGGGTCCCTGGTTGAGCTGGGTGGAAGAACTTGCCTGGGTCCTGAGGTGGGGACAACCCTGCCTCCCTGGGAACCTTCCTGCTGGGGGATGGGCCTACAAAGCCGACCAGCTGACTGCAGTGTCAGCTGCTGTGTCACACCCAGTTGATGGCTGAATGGAGAGCACGAGGGGAGGGAGGTGCTTGGCTGGTCCGGGCAGTGCTCCATGAGCCCAGCCCGCAGGGCCAAGAGGGAAAGAGAGCACAGGGGCGTGGGCTCAGTATACCTCCCTGGATGGCGGCTGGACTGACCCAGTGGCCTCCCCTCTCCACCACTCCCCCCCACCCCGCGCCGGGAAGACCAGCAACGAGTGAGTGGAAGGAGAGTGGGTGCAAGGAGGGACTGGCCATGCTGACTGCAGCCCTGCGTCCCTCCCCGGAGGGACAGGATGTGCCCCCCGACTGCACATCGTCTTGGAATCTTGGCTTGATACCAACTTGCTTTGTTACCTGAGTCCTTTCCCTAGAGCTGGGGCGAATCACAGGCAGGCAGGCAGGCAGTCTCCACAGCGACATAAAATTAGCTGATAAGTTAGAGGTTTAGCATCTTTCTCTCACGTTCTTCAGTCACCTTCCTAGAAAGTCAGCTCTGCTGCCAGTTTTGACTTCTTAGCCCCTCGTGCCTTTTTCTCCTCCCAGCCTGTTTCCATCAGGCTTCTCTTTCACTCTTTGCAGATGTTGTTATAAAGGAGGAATATTCCTCATCCCGGTAACATTTTTGTTCTAAGCTGTTTGGGGAACAGTTTGCTTCAAAGCCCTAAAAGATCTTCAGCCCCAAGTGACATTCCTGCATACTTAGTACCAGACCAGGCATTTTTCATGTTCCTTGAACAGATCTCCTGACGAAAGCAACGGTAAAGATTATGTCTCTAATGGTAAAATGTGATTGAGTGTCTCATGTAGAATGGAATTTTCTCATAAAAATGATCTAAGTGGCTTATATTGTTTTAAATAGTTCTCTCAGCACCATTCTTCAGGAATGCCACAAATAACCTGGCGTTTGTGGGCCAGCTGGGAATGTAACAATTTTTAATGTAGACACTTTGAATGCATTTTCTTATATGGTATCACCTTATAAAGTTAATATTGGAATGTCTCCTGTTGACACTGAGAATGCATTTTCTTATACAGTGTCACCTTATAAATGAATTTCAGGACAGTTCATGTTTATGAGATGGGGAGAACTTTTTTTTTTATTATTTATTTTTGGTTGCATTGGGGTCTTCGTTGCTGTGCGCAGGCTTTCTCTAGTTGCGGTGAGCGGGGGCTACTCCTCATTGCGGTGCATAGGCTTCTCATTGCAGTGGCTTCTCTTGTTGCGGACCATGGGCTCTAGGCGCGTGGGCTTCAGTAGTTGTGGCACGTGGGCTCAGTAGTTATGGCTCGCGGGCTCTAAAGCACAGGCTCAGTTGTAACACACAGGCTTTGTTGCTCCGCGACATGTGGGATCTTCCCGGACCAGGGCTCGAACCCGTGTCCCCTGCATTGGCAGGCGGATTCTTAACCACTGCCACCAGGGAAGCCTGGGGAGAGCTTTTTTATTTTTAATGCTTTTAACTTTTTCTCTGATATACTCTCCTCAGATTTATATCTTTGCCTGCTTATGTAAGCCAATGTTGGGCTTTCTCATGATTTTCAAATCTCTTGGGGTACAGATTGTTATTCTTTGGGGGCGGGGTGGGGAATTTGAGTCAAGTACACCAAGTTCAAGGCACATCTGCTCCTCAGGTTTTAAAAAGTGCCTCAGGATAAGAACAGTGGCTGTCATTATGCTTGTGATATGATGTTACATGCATATAACCTTTAAGCTTGTTTTCCTTCCCAGGTATGAAAGGTTACAGAAAACGTGTTCCATAGCCCTGGTTGGCAAATACACCAAGCTCAGGGACTGCTATGCCTCCGTGTTCAAAGCCCTGGAACACTCAGCGTTGGCCATCAACCACAAGTTGAATCTGATGGTGAGCCCCCACCTGGTCTTCTGCATGTTTCAGGCATTCATCGTGAAATCTCGTGTTGCAGAGAGGCAGGTTGTGTTCAAGGATCCCCAAGTCCACCTCCAGGGTTGATGATTCACCGGGAGGACGCAGAGGACTCAGCATACAGCTGTACTCACGATTATGACTTATTTCAGTGATAGGATGCAGAGCCAAATCAGCAAAGGAAAAGGCACGTGGGATGAAGTCTGGGGGAAACCAGGTGTAAGCTTCCAACAGCCCTCCTCCAGTGGAGTCACAGAGGACGTGCTTAAATCCCCCAGCAGCGAGCTGCAACAACACAGGTGACGTGCCATCTACCAGGGAAGCTCATTAGAGACTCAGCGCCCAGGGTTTTTACTGGGGGCTGGTCACACAGATACCCTCAGCCTCCTGAGTGTCAAAATCTCAGACTCCCAGGAGGAAAGCAGGTGTTCAACTTAAATCATGTTGTTTCTTCAAACACTGTAGGCACACTGAGCCACTCTTACTGGTTCTTGGGAATGGTGGGAACCCTCCCCAAATCCAAGTTTCCAGATGCCAGACAAGGGCCAACCTTGTAAGCAGGCATTTCCAAGGATTTCAGTCTGTTAACTTTTTTTCTGCATACAGGTTTAAGGCACAGTTTTTGAAATTAGGCTTTGCACATTCAGGGACATATATACTTCATGCTCATTTAACTATTTTGTGTTTGTCTAATGAGAAAGTAATAGAACTTTTTTTCCCCTTTAGTGTGGGAATTGAACGCAGAGTTTTTAAATGCCATATTTATATACATTTCCCTTTCTAACTCGGAGGACTGATATCTGGCAAACAGTGATGGTTTGTTTTTCAAACAGTATTATGGGATAGCAGAGGTGGAGTTATATATAGCTTGAGTATATTCTTTGTTAGATACAGAAGTAGTATATGCTCAGTATAGAAAATTTAAGCAAAGCATAATGTAAAATGCAGAAAGTGGAAGATTCTTCCTCAGTGAAATCCCACTTCTCTTGATGTACCTGTCGTTCCCAGTTTGATGCATATCTTTCTAGAGTTTTCTCTCCCTATATAAATGTTTATATTTAATGTTATTCTCTCTGGGTATATCACAGTTTAGGGAGGTCTTATTATCTTGATTTAAATGGTAAAACCTTAATATAATGAGCCAAAAGATACACTTATATGTTCAAGAAATTTAGTAACTTTCAGCTTAGGACCTATCCAGTTTTCTCTCACCTGTTTGTAGCTTCCTCTCTAATCACTTTTTATTTTTGACTTTCCAAGGAATCGTTCCCTTCCTGTTCTTCCTCTTCCTTCCTAGTCCTCCAGTCCCTCGTAGAAAAAAGAAAATAGAAAATCTGTTATAATACTAATTTTATAAAGTAAAATTTTGTATCTTAAGATATATTCAGATAGTAATTTTTACAACAGAAATTCTAAAATAATATAGACATATAGGGACTGTTATGTACATAGGAATTGTTGTACGTGTTTTTCACGTAGTAGAATTCATTGACGGTGGCTTCTCCTAAGTACTGTTTGAGTCATGGGCTTGTGCTGTGTTTATCTCGCCCGCCTTTTGCAGTAATTTCCTGACTGGTTTTCATTTTTCCCTCCCTTTCCTTCACTGAGCCAGAGTGATTTTTCTGAAATCGCTCTCTGTTCTTTCAGATTTTTCAGTGGCTTCAAGTATAAACTTCTCTCACCGGATGGAGCTTCTTTTGAGGTCCCCAGAGCGGTCACCACTTTCTGTTTTTTTTCTGTTTTTTCTTTCTGTTTTTTGAAGCTGCTCCTTCACAGCCCTCCCCCACCCCCCGCACCCCTTCCCACTTGCCCCCGAACTGCACACGCGCGCTCGGCTCGCGTCCACTCATCCTCCAGGGCTTAGCTTCTTGGACATCCCCTTCCCAGAGGACTTCCCTGAAGGCGCTCTTGCCCTTCTTGTCTCCAGTCTGCATACGTATCAGCTGCGGCTCCTGGTTCCTTCCGCAGCGTTCTCTTCTTTGCCCATCGTAGCCATTACCTCCTTGTGATGTGGATGCCTGTTTATTTGGTTTCATAACCTGCCTGAAAGATTGTAAGAGCCACAAGACAGAGATGGTGCTTTTCTATGCTAAGTGACCAGTACAGTGTTTGCATAATAAGTAGTCATCGAATAATTGTGTCAGTATCAGATGGCTCTAGTATTTTCCAGTTTTTATTTTTCTGAAATGTTCCTTTAGCTTGTTGCATGTTTTTAGTACATAGACTCCATTGATCTGGAGCAGACTACCGAAACTGAGGACCCTGTGAAATTCCACGAAGCTTGGCAGAAACTCTGCAAAGCTGAGTAAGTACCACGCCAGTTAGGAGAACGCTGTTGTGATTTTTTCCATGATTCGATTTACCCCAATTACTAATTTTTGTGCATTTTGAAGTGTAGTTTGGAGTACTTGTGGTGATTCTGGATGGTTGTGCTGCATTCACGCTGCATGTGCTTTGAAACGTGCCGTGTCAATGTTAGTGGCACGTGCAGTGGAGATGGTTTTATTCTGGGGAGGATGACGATACCGTATTGGTGGGAAAGTGAGCTGATGCTACTGAAAGATGCAGAGATGGACCTTACATATAAAAAGTTAAAGTGCAAGAATGACAATCCTCCCTCCTCTCTTGGTTTTATTTTCTTTTCCACATCCTTTGATTCTAGGTTTTATTTTGTAAGTAATCAATAAAAATTTTGGGGGTGGCATTGTGTTGTGAGGGTAGCATGGCCCTTGGGTTTTTCTCTTGAGCTCTTGTGTTTTTGGTTTTTTTTAAAAATGTATTTATTTACTTATTTCTGGCTGTGTTGGGTCTTTGTTGCTGCACGTGGGCTTTCTCTAGGTATGGTGAGCGGGGGCTACTTTGTTGTCGTGCGCGGGCTTCTCATTGCGGTGGCTTCTCTTGTTGCAGAGCACGGGCTCTAGGCACATGGGCTTCAGTAGTTGTGGCACATGGGCTTAGTTGCTCTACGGCATGTGGGATCTTCCCAGACCAGGGATCGAACCCGTGTCCCCTGCATTGGCAGGCGGATTCTTAACCACTGCGCCACCAGCGAAGCCCCAGAGGTCTTAACATTTGTATAAAAGTACTTTTAAAAGAACCTTAACCTATTTTTATTCAGATAATTCTTTCAGTGGCATTTTTAATTGAATTGAGCTGCTCAGTCACTATGCTCACGTGCTGCAAAGACCTATCAGAAAATATATATCAAGGTCAGTTGTAAGAAATTGTTGCAACTTCTTTATAACACTGGGAGGATTTCAAGAAGAAAGTTCAGGATGTGAAATCATGTAATCAGTTCTGAAAATAGACTCCAAGCGTATTCTCTAGCAGCTGTGCCAAGTGTCGGATTTGGGATCAATAAGCATGAATGGCTGAAAACAAGAGTTTTACAAATAAAAATAATGTCAAATTTCCCCTCCTCTTGTGTTGCTTGCAGTGGTGTTCTTGTGCCAGGGGGCTTCGGAATCAGAGGAACGTTGGGAAAACTCCAGGCGATTTCTTGGGCACGGTCAAGGAAGATTCCTTTTCTGGGTAAAACTGATGTTTATGAATCCTAACTATGAGTTTTTTAGATTTTTGACACCTAGTAGGGTAACACGTAATAGAGTTTGTTAATGTGAAAAGTGTGATCTTGAATTTGAATATTCAGGTGCCAAATAGTTTGCTACAGGGTCTGGAAACTCTATTCTGCAAGCCTTACCTGGTTTGCAGCATTTTTGTAAATAAAGTTTTATTGGAACACAGCCATACCAGTTGGTTTACATATTGTCTGTGGCTGTTTTTGCGATACAGTAGCAGAGTTGGAGACCCTACAGCCTGCAAGGCCTAAAATCTCTACTCTCTGGCCCTTGACCAGAAACATTTGCCAGCCCAGGAGAACTTACCACTGTTCCGGTTGTGTAGCAGGAGGCTGGGAGGAACCTCTGTTCATACCTGCCCTTCTCCGATTCCACCTTTCACCACTTCGAGCAAACATCTCAACAGAATGCCACAATGTTATTTCGCATCAGGAAAAAAAGCTTAAATTGAAATTTATATGCTCCTTCTAGAAAAGATAATACAGAAAGACCGTCCAACGTTACAGGGACAGCTCTGTTAAGATTTAGTAGAGCTGGGTCTTTTCAATGTGTTTGTTCAAATTGCAAAGCATGGCTTCTGGAGCAGTGAAACCAGATGAAATGGAACACTGATGGGATAAAGGCAGCCCTGCAGCTGGGGATTCAGGCGGAAGAGGGAGTGGGGAGAGGCCATGTTTCATGCTGTGCTTGCATGGGCTGGTGGGTTTATGAACCGAGTGGACCAGCTTTGGTACTCTTTACTTAATAACAGCAGACTGTTCATTTTCCCCCTTGCCTGTTCTTTGATTAGCTTCCTAGACGCTCTCCACTTGGGATCCATTTTCAAAAGAGAAGCCAGGAGTAGTTACCTTGATACCTTGCTTTGTTTTATCCATCTAAGCTCATCTGGGCCACTGTTTTCTTTTGAAGTAATCTTGTTTAGTTTCTGTCTAAATGTGGTTAGCGTTCTTCGGATAATTTTCACTGTGTAGAATAGTTTGCAGCTCTTTAAATTTCTCTTTAACACACCGTCTCTTTATGTCCTAGACTTATGGAACTTTCTAAAGTGCCCCCAAAGCACTCAGCTGTTTCATGCTTATTGACTTTTGTTCTGGCGTGCCTGGTATATTGATTGCTCTCTCCTTTGAGCCCCTGTGTACCTTCAGTATATCTATAAAAGCATCTGGAATGCTCCTTGGCATTTGTTTATTGGAGAGAATCGATGGGCCGCAGTGAATGTGGAGATCGGCGAGGGGCACATCCCTGTGGCAACAGGCCTGGGCCTACGCAGGTCCCCTTTTCTCCTTACTGAGCTCTCTGTTCAGTTCCATTTGGCCTCTCCGTCGCGCTCCAGCCTGCGGGGGAGGTACCAGCTCCCCCAGCTGCTGCTGTTTCCCTGCAGTGAGGTTTAGGGCTGTTCTGGGCTCAGCAGCTGGGCACAGACCTCCTGCTCCCCTGCCCGCCTGTAGGTGCTCCTTGGATCCCAGCCTGCTGGCCAGCCGGGGGCTGCCCGCAAGCAGAGCCCGCATTTAAGGCCGTGAATCTACCTTGAGAAGAGGGGGTGTGAGGTCCCAGCCCACGGAGACTCCCTCTTGAATTGAGGTGTTGTTAGACATTCTCTGAAGGAGTCGGGCGCTTTGGGGCAGCCCTGCAGCCCACAAGTGTGCCTCGATCTAGAGACACATTTGCAGGGAGGCAGATTTGCCTTTTGGACCTTGCCTTCTCCTTTCCTGCCCTTTTCTGACCTCACATTTATTCCTTCTCGAGTTTGGGTTGTCCAGTCCTTTCCCTGCCCCTGCCACACATGTTCTGAGGGCAGAGGCTACAGCAGCAAACTTTCTTTTTTGGAGCCTACATTCTAGATGGAGGAGATAGACAGCAAATAAATGAACAGAAAATACGAAGCAGTACAAAATAACGTTCATTTGCTTTATATATGTGCTTTTTAAAATAGGAGTTTGCCTTGGGATGCAACTGGCAGTGATAGAATTTGCGAGAAACTGCCTTAACTTGAAAGGTAAGTCTGAGATTTTCTAATAACCTCTTAGTAAAAAGCATTCTTATTGCTTGAAGTATTTTTCAGCAGTATTGGTGAGTTGCTGAACTCATTTCTTTATCTTCAGATGCTGATTCCACAGAATTTGAGCCAAATGCCCATGTTCCTGTGGTAAGTGGCTTAACTTTCTGGGTTAGGTCATTGTTTTGGTTCTGGCTCGGCATAAACTCATGAGGGGTTATTATTACTATTTTTTTCATTCTGACATCAGGACATTTTAATTATATATGATTTTTCTTATTCCTCTTATTGTTATTAGTTTATATCAAACCACTTTGTTTTCAATTGTCCATCTTGTCGGTTGTGCCTTGAGGGAAGACACAGTCCTAGATTGGCTTCTCTTTGCAATAGTTTTCAAGCTGAATGTTTAGGAAAGGGTTGAGTTGACTGTGACGACAGTCGCTCACAGCTGATGTAAACACACGGGCTGTCCTGTCTCTAGACCCATCCGCATCTGTTCTTCTGCTGCTTCTCATCTTTCACCGATTCCGTTTCCTGTAAAACATTCAGTCCAGGATTTTGGCTGGGAGTGAAGGCCATCGTGCTCTGTCACCTGCTGCTCTGCTAACTTATCCCATGGCATCCCCCTCTCTCCTGCACTTGGGGTTTTATAGTTGGACTATCTGAATGAGTTTTTTAGATGTATCCTGAGATTCCCTACACCTGAGATGTCCGCGTCCTGCAACCTCCTTACCCCTGGAATCTCAATAAAACTGATGAAGAATTTAATTACAAAAATAAACCAAACCTGATTACTGACAACTTCCTATTCATCCCGGGAAGCCTTTTCTGACCTCCTTTGTTTCCTGGCCTCTGCCTTCTGAACCTTGTACCACCTCTATCAGAGTGTACACCTCACCATTGTGATTGGTTTTTTATTAACAGTTTATTGAGATATAATTCACATACCATAAAATTGAGCCATCGAAAGTGTATAATGCAGTGACTTAGCACATTCACAGATCTCTGCAACCATCACCACCGTCAATTTTGGACCATTTTGATTATTCCAAAAAGAAATTCCACACCCTTTAGCTGACATCCCCAAGCCGCCTATCCTTCTAGCTCTAGGCAACCATTAATCTGTTTTCTGTCTCTATATATTTGCCTATTCTGGCCATTTCATATACAGTTGACCTTTGAATAATGCAGGGGTCAGGGGCTGACCCTCCACGCAATCAAAAATCTGCCTTTAACTCCTAGTCGCCTCTCCGTATATGCGTTCCTCTGTATATGTGGTTCCGCATCTACGGCTTCAACCAACCATGGACCATGTAGTACTATTTACTATGGAAAGAAAGGCATGTCTAAGTGGACCTGCTCAGTTCAAACCTGTGTTGGTCAACTGTAAATGGAATCATACAATATGTGGCCTTTTGTGACTGGCTTCTTTCATTTAGCATAACATTGTCAAGGTCTGTCTATGTTGTAGCATGTATTAGTACTTTGTTTCTTATCCATTCATCCTTTGATGGACATTTGCTGTTTCTACTTTTTGGCTACTATGAATAATGCTGCTATGAATATTTGTGTACAAGTTTTTGTATGGACATATGTTTTTGTTTCACTTGGGTCTATACCTAGGAGTGGAATTGTGGGTCATATGGTGACTGTATGTTTAATTCTTTGAGGAACTGCCAGACTGTTTTCCAAAGTGGCTGCAGCATTTTACATTGCCACCAGCAGTGTGTGAGGGTTCCAATTCCTTCATATCCTCAACACTTGTCTTTTTGATTACAGTTGACTCTTGAACAACATGGATTTGAACTGCATGGGTCCACATATACGTTGTTGTTGTTGTTGTTTTTTTTCAATAAATGCATACTACAGTACTACATGATCCATGTAGGTTGAATTCACGGGTATGGGACTGCAGATACAGAGGGCCAAGTGTAAAGTTATATTCGAATTTTTGACTACTTGGGGGTCAGTGCCCCTAAGCCCTGCATTGTTCAAGGGTCAACCGTGTAGCCATTCTAGTGTGTGTGAAGTTGTGGCTCACTGTGGCTTTGCTTCACATTTCCTTGATGTCTGAGGATGTCGAACATCTTCTCGTATGCGTATTGGCCATTTGTATATCATCTTTGGAGAACTGTCTATTCACATCCTTTGCCCACTTTTAATTTGGGTTATTTGTCATTTTATTATTAAGTTGTAAGAGTTTTTTATATAATCTATATACAAGTTCCTTATTAGATATATAATTTGTACTATTGACATTTGGAGCCAGATGATTGTCCTGTTCATTGTAGGATGTTCAGCAGCATCCTTGGCGTCTACCCACTAGATGTCAGTAGTACACTTCTCCCAAACCCCAGTTGTGACACTAAAACTACCTCCAGACATTGCCGAACATCCCCTGGGGACAGAGGTGGAATAGCCCCCCCCGTTGAGAAGCACTGATTCAGAGAAATCTAGTTCTGTTCTCTCCCCTCCAGCATAGTCCCTTCCTTCCCTATGGCAACCATTAATTCATTTTTTTAAATGGGGTATCTTTCCATTTTTAAAATATAAGTAAACCTGTATGTCTGCTTGTAACCTCCTCCCCTTCTTAGATAAATGACAGCATACTCTGCCCATTTTTTCTGCCTTGCTTTTTTCACTTAACTCTGTATGCTGGAGTAGAGATCACTCCGTGGAAGGATATAGAGATATTCTTCACTCTTTTTTTTTTTTTTAATAAATTTATTTATTTATTTTTGGCTGCATTGGGTCTTTGTTGCTGCACGCGGGCTTCCTCTCGTTGCGGTGAGCGGGGACTACTCTTGGTTGCGGTGCGCGGGCTTCTCATTGCAGTGGTTTCTCTTCTTGCAGAGCATGGGCTCTAGGCGTCCGGGCTTCAGTAGTTGTGGCTCGTGGGCTCAGTAGTTGTGGCTCACAGGCTCTAGAGCGCAGGCTCAGTAGTTAGGGTGCACGGGCTTAGTTACTCTGTGGCATGTGGGATCTTCCTGGACCGGGGCTCGAACCCCGTGTCCCCTGCACTGGCAGGCGGATTTTTAACCACTGCATCACCAGGGAAGTCCACTTCACTCATTTTTATAGCTTGCCATTCAGACTACAATGAATTGTAACTTCCCAGCCAGATGACACTTCTAAGTCTTATGCTCAGAAGACTTAATACAAGTGAAGAGTTCCTTACAAGGCTTTAACAGAAACATATGTCCTGACTAATGGCTGAAATGGCTGTGCCAGGCGAACCTTGGGTTTTCTTTTAGAGAATACTTTGGGATAGGAAGTGATTTTACCAGTAGGTGCCACTGTTAGATAGCTTTGGCAAGGTTAATTCGTTGATGACTATACTTCACTCTTTGTGTGTGTGTTTGCATATTTTTAAGACATTTATACACAGGATAAAAAAGTTAAGCCCTACAGAAAAGGTATAAAACTGCCTTTGGTATACAGGATAAAAAAGTTAAGCCCTACAGAAAAGGTATAAAACTGCCTCTCATGTGCCCCTACCTTACCTCAGTTCCCTTACCCAGAGGTGACTACCTTCATCCATTTCTTTTGTTATTCTTCCAGAGATTGTGTGTGTGTATGTGTACAAATGCCTACCTACAAACATATATGGACATATGTTCCCTTAAAAAAATACATATGCTACCATGCTTGAGACATCGTTCCCCTTGCTTTTTTTCTAAAAATAAATTTATTTATTTTATTTATTTATTTTTGGCTACGTTGGGTCTTTGTTGCTGCGTGTGGGCATTCTCTAGTTGCGGTGAGCAGGGACTACGTTTCGTTGCGGTGTGCGGGCTTCTCACTGCAGTGGCTTCTCTTGTTGCGGAGCATAGGCTCTAGGCGTGCGGGCTCAGTAGTTGTGGCGCACGGGCTTAGTTGCTCCTCGGCATGGGGGATCTTCCCGGACCAGGGCTCGAACCCGTGTCCCCTGCATTGGCAGGTGGATTCTTAACCACTGTGCCGCCAGGGAAGCCCCCTCCTTGCTTTTTGTACTCATCACTCCACATCAGTGCACAGGGATCTTCTACGTGCTTGCCTTGCTCTACACATCATTCTTTATTTAAACAGTCTCATATTGATGAATATTTAGGTTGTGTCCATTATTTGCTGCTTTAAATCATTGCTGCAAATTAGTATGTGTACATATGTTCTCATAGCGACACATACACACTTCTATGGGATGAATTCCTAGAAGGGGAATTGCGAAGTCAGAGGAATTGTGCGTTTTACATTTTGATAGTTTCTATACTCATAAGTGAGATGAGAACAATAAAACCTAATTGCTACTGAACATCTTTATGTCCTGCGTTCAGTTTGTCGGAGAAAAATAGCCTTAAGAGCCACCATTTATGAGGATGGGGAGAAGTCTTATTGAAGGAGAAGACTAAGGTAATAGAATCACCAGGGAGCAGACACCAGGAAGCCTGGGGAATCCCTTAAACTTGAGCAAATAACAATGACTTACAGTGGGTAATGGCCATTCTGGCCCTTCTTGCTAAAAAAGTAAATAGCTTTGGAAACCAGGAGCCTCCTAAAGGGTATATTTGCAGCTAAAATCTCTTTCATGGGTGTGGGGGAGAAAAATAATTTCCCTCTACTCTTCTAGATTCTTGGCTGAGACCCCCTGTAATAAAGGAATAACAAGGGAAAAACAAACAGAAGCTTAATAACGTGGATACCTCCTGTATACCCAGGAGTATACAGAGTTTCTGAGTAACTCCCAGAAATGGCCCAAGCCACCATCTTAAGTACCATCTCCAGCTACAGAGAAGAAAAGAGGATGTTGGGGGTGGAGGTATTTATGGGAGGTTTTCAAGGCAAAGCACAGTAAACAAGGGTGAGTTTGTTATGCGGATTTAAGTCCCTGCCTTCTCCATTGAGAAGAGTTTCTAGAGATTTAGAGTCACCCTTCTCTTCCTGGTACAGAAAGGGAGACACCCTTACAAATGGAGGTTTCCCTTATAAATGCAAATGTCTCTAACAAAAGGGTAACTTCTGTTCTGTTTTAGAGCTTCTCCTATATCTCCTGTTTCTTAAAAATAATCAGCCCAGGATAATCTTTATGCCAAAGAGGCATATTTTGTGTGTGCGGGGCAAATTCTGCTCCCCTTCGTGGGCCATCGTGACCCTCCTTTGGCATGCATGATTAG